AAGTTCTACATGGGAGGGGAGGAGGTCTTCTTCAAGAGTAATAACGAAAAAAGCGAATAAAGAAGTGTGAAACTGTGTGTGAAAAGAGGCATTAGAACACATATGCTATATTTCTATAAGAAGGAATAGACAATTAGGAGACAATGTCTCCACCACATCTTGCAACACGGGAAAAGCTCATTGTCTAGACACCAACAGCTTCATATTTCAGGACAACAAAAATTGGCTTAATATAAGTAATCATACCATTTTAGAGTAAGATCAGAGACCAAGAAATAAGAGAAAGAGTCACAAAGAAACTTGACAAAGGAACAAACATTAACAAACAACAGTAGTGACACTAACTGGTTTTCCAGAGGCTTTTTCAACAGCTTTCACCATTTCAAGAACAGAGTATCCTCTTCCTGTGCCAAGGTTGTAGATCTAGAAAAAAACGCTTTTTTTAAAGATTGAAACCTTGGACTTGTCGTCTTAAGAGCAATTTATAACTTGTTTCCTATGAGTCTGCTGGGAAGCTTAACTTTACCTGGCAACCACACTTGTTTTCAAATTGCTTCAGTGCAATGACATGTCCAACAGCTAAGTCAACCACATGAATATAATCCCGCACACCTATAAGAAAAAAAATGTACTTTGGGGTTATAGACTGAAAAGTGCAGGATGACTTAAAAAAAGAAAAAAAAAAACAGTAACAAGCCCTGCATGCCTTCACTTCTCTTAACAATCCATTAAAATGAGTTTTAATAATACTTGGACAACAGCCCTACTTTACGTGCCGCTAATTAAAAAAAAAATAACCTGAATGGAGAATACACTACCTGTCCCATCAATAGTGTTGTAATCATCACCAAACACATTAAGGTGAGATCTTTTGCCCACAGCAACTTGAAGTATATATGGCATGAGATTATTGGGAATACCCTGAAATATATACACAAATCAGTCAAGTTTTGGTAAATCCAGAAAAAGCCCTTTTCTCACTTTCTTATACTTTTCTATTGTCTCAGTCTTGCCCTCTGATTGGTAACCCCTTAGAGTGGCTATCATTTATTTCTCTTTATAGTAACACAGCTGAGTCATTCATTAAGATAATGAGAATAAAGGGAATGATCATCAACTGAAGAAACTCTTGATTATATTAAAGTTCACACGGCAACCA